ACACACACACACACACACACACACACACACACACACACACACACACAGATATTGATCTATCTCTACACACACACACACACACACACACACACACGCAGGCACGCACACACACACACACGCGCGCGCGCGCGCACGCACACACACACACTTCACTTGCAAGACCTATGAACTGACAGACATTATGAATAATCAACTTTAGTTAACCTTGTAATTATCCCATTAAAGATGTATATCTTTAATGGGATAATGAACTAATGAACTAATGAACTAATTTCTGTCAGTTCATAGGTCTTGCAAGTGAAGTGTGTGTGTGTGCGTGCGCGCGCGCGCGCGTGTGTGTGTGTGCGCGTGCCTGCGTGTGTGTGTGTGTAGAGATAGATCAATATCTTGCATGTTTACATCTCAAATTGAAATTGATTTGATTTTAGTTCTGAGCTCAGAGACTGTTTTAGACAGCTATATAAAACATTTTGGGGAATTATTAATATTACTACAAGGCACTATTATTGCACATTGAGTGGTAACACTAATTATGGCCTCTAGATGGCAACCTAGCCTTTTCTTGTCTATTTTACTGTACAGTCATGGCCAAAAGTTTTGGCAGAGACATACATTTTGTGTTTTGAAAGTTTGCTGCTTCAGTAATTGTAGATTATTTTTCCACATGTTTCTATGTTATACTGAAAAACAATGATAAGCATATCATAAGTTTTAAAGGCTTTTATTGGCAAAAAAATATAACAAGTCAATATTTACAGTGTTGACCACCTTGTTCTTCATAACCTCTGCAATTCGCTTTGGCATGCTGGATATTAGCTTCTGGGCCAAATCCTGACTGATGGCGATCCATTCTTGCCTTATTAGTTCTCTGAGCTGATCATAATTTGTGGTCTTCTGCTTGTCCACTCGCCTTTTGAGGACTGACCACAGGTTCTCTATGAGATTGAGATCCGGGGAGTTGCCTGGCCACGGATCCAAAATGTCAATGTAATGATCTTCGAGCCACTTCTTTATTACTCTTGCTTTGTGACATGGTGCTCCGTCATGCTGGAAAATGCACGGATCATCACCAAATTGCTCATGGATCGTTGAAAGAAGTCGCTTTTTCAGGACAATTTGATACATTCTTTATTCATGGCAGTGATTTTGGGCAGAATTATGAGAGAGCCCACTCCCTTGGTTGAAAAGCAACCCCAAACATGAATTGTTTCACTGTTGGCACAACACAGGACTCGTGGTAGCATAGCATTAACCTTTTCTTCTCTGAACAATCGATTTTCCAGATTTCCAGAAGGGAGCTTCATCAGAGAAAATAACGTTGCACCAGTCTTCTGCTGTCCAATCCTTGTACTTCCTGCAGAATTTCAGTCTGTCCTTGATGTTTTTTCTTGGAGAGAAGTGGCTTCTTTGCTGCCCTTCTTGACACCAGGCCATTGTCCAAAAGTCTTGGCCTCACTGTGTGTGCAGATGCTCTCACACCAACCTGCTGCCATTCCTGAGCAAGCTCTGCACTGCTGGTGACACGATTCCGTAGCTGACTCCTCAGGAGGAGACGGTACTGGCACATGATGGACACTCTGGGACGTCCTGAAGACTTCATCACTGCAGTCGAACCTCTCTTCTTGAAGTTCTTGATAATCCGGTAAATGGTATGCTATATTATTTGTAGCAATTTCCTTGCATGTGAGGCCATTTTGATGCAAAGCAATGATGGCTGCACATGTTTCTTTGGTAACCATTGCTAACAAGAACACAATGACTGGAAGCGCTTCTTCCCTCCTTTTACAGCAATCAGTCTGCTCTTACAATCTAATTAGTATGATAGTGATTTTACCTGACTAGTACTCATTCACACTTTCACATGTGCTGCTGATATGATTAGTCAATTAATGTTAGCTGGCCATTTTGTGTCAGGATCAAAAAAACAGTGAAATATTTTTTTTTTGTGAAAAATTCCGTAGCTGACTCCTCAGGAGGAGACGGTACTGGCACATGATGGACACTCTGGGACGTCCTGAAGACTTCATCACTGCAGTCGAACCTCTCTTCTTGAAGTTCTTGATAATCCGGTAAATGGTATGCTATATTATTTGTAGCAATTTCCTTGCATGTGAGGCCATTTTGATGCAAAGCAATGATGGCTGCACATGTTTCTTTGGTAACCATTGCTAACAAGAACACAATGACTGGAAGCGCTTCTTCCCTCCTTTTATAGCAATCAGTCTGCTCTTAAAATCTAATTAGTATAATAGTGATTTGACTGACTAGTACTCATTCACACTTTCACATGTGCTGCTGATATGATTAGTTAATTAATGTTAGCTGGTCATTTTGTGTCAGGATCAAAAAACAGTGACATGTGATTTTTTGTGAAAAGTTCATTTTTTGGCCAGTGAAGCTTTTAGCAATTATTTAAAATGCATCTGATCACTCTACACAATAATCTAGAAACAATGTGAATGAACACTACAACAGCTTAAGCAGCAAACTTTGCAAAACACAAAATTGATGTCACTGCTAAAACTTTTGGCCATGACTGTACAATTGGCTTGGCAGGTACTGACAGTCCCTCAATTCACATAACTGATTCATCACATTTAAACAGTCTAAACCTTTTTCTTTTTTCTTGTAAATGTTCAAATGTCCAGTGCTCAGTCAGTGCTCAGCTCTGGGGCATTTGGTGTTGCGGGAGAGTTTTTCTTGCCTTTGTCATCCACAGGGAACACAGAGGAAACAGCCTCAAGAACTGTAGCCCCCTCTTTGTAACCCTATCTGAATATTAATACCCATCAAATCCTGCTGGGAATATTTCCCTCCTTGCCTGGTGTCGAAAAGAATAACTTGATTTTCTTATTGCATTCCTCAGCTTGTTGAACTAACAGTGGTCTGAGGCCGTGTTAGGGAGGGTAAGGAGAGTCAACAGCCACTGCGGTGGCATCCAACTTTCAATTCCCACCGAAAATACGCAAGCTTTTGTGGTCAAACTGTAAATGCATGGGGGAAAATAGAAAATTATTTATTTCTTACAAAAATATTATTAAAATACACTTACATGAGCACCAAATTAAAAATCGCAGCATGCAGTATCTCAGATAAACATGTTGTCACATTTATAGATTTTAACGAGATTTGTATATTGGCTCACAGGAGGTTTCTAAAGACCTGCTGACTAGCTTTTGTTGGAGTCTTAAAATATATTATCATCAAACAGAAATGCCATGTTTACAGCTCATCTGTAATTTGAAATGATACACAATGTGTTTGAAATAAAATAGCTTCCTCGACTGTAATTAGCAAACAGTGAGACTGCATTGACATAGATAATGTTACATAATACTGCAATCATCAGAAAGTTGAGCTGAATACATACATACAAACACAAAGTACCTTTTAATGGTAATACAACAGAAGCCCTTACCCTCTTTCCATTTAGTCATCCATCTATTTTCCCTGACATTTCCTTGCATAATTTCTTCACAATATAACAAACAAACAAACAAGAAAAAGAAAACTCCACATCTTTGCTAATTTCCTGACATTAATGTTCAGAACACCTTGTAAACAGGGCCACTAGTATGCTTAACACATATCATCACAGTTTCTCCAAATATAAAATATCTCTGCTCTACTTCCTGTGTAATGCTTGGCTTTTGAATAGCAAAAAGATCCAAGTATTGTTCTTGGACTGTTAGCACTTACTTGGGTTGCTTTAATTTAGTGTTATTTGATTTTGAACTCAGAAGAACTTAAAGGAAAGTTGAGGTCCACTGTAGCTCTACTGAGTGTGAGACATTTCCCTTGACCCGAGACATTTCAAGGTAAATGGGCTCCATCAGAACAGCACGGTTGTGGTCCTCGAGTGGTGGCCCTTAGCTCATGAGAACAGAGGCAGCAGCATCGGTAACCTGATGGTAACCTGTTAACACTGGTAATGGAAATGCTGGTGTACTTTTCCCTCCATGTGTGCATGGGAGTGTGTGTGGGTGTGAGTGTGCATGTCTGTGTAGACCTTGGTATAAATCTTTGGTGGACTACTGAGAGCTGGGGGCCCCATTCCCAATAGTCTCTGGTTGGGAAGGTCAGGGTTGGTGCCGCTGGTCGAGCTGGGCTCCTTGTCTGGAATGTGGTGGTCTCGATAGGTCATCGGTCGGGGAGGCAAAGCACTCTGGCGTCTGCGGCTGTGGCACAACCAGAGCACGATGGTTCCTACCATGAGCAGGGCAGCAGCTGGGATCCCAATGATCAGTGGCCAGGGAAGACCGGGGCTGATGTGGCGGAGAATGACATCCTTATCCACCTTGGGATCTGCAAACAAATAGCAGCATTTATTCACTGCTACACTGTAAGAAAAAAAAGTTACAATTCTGGTAAAAATGGCAGATGTGGTTGACATAGCTATACCATAAAAATATGGTAGCAACATTTGAGGTTTTACGAATTGAACTTAAAAACACAAATATTTGTGATATAATGTGATATCAACCTACTGAAGAACAAAAATCTGTTTTATACCTTTTAAATATACTGACAAACACCAAAGTTCCTCAAGTAGTTTTTCCACAAGCTGAGGTAAACACTATATACACACACACACACACACTATTTAACACCATAAGATGTAACATTAATGTGCATAAATGAAGAAAAACAAACAAACAAGAAGAAAGTTATTTGAATGAAAATCCATCAAATGTGAAATGTCACACAGGGACTTCCAGGAATCTCAAAAGATGACTTGTTCTTTTTCATTTCTAAAAATTGTAAATAATTTACAATAATGTACTGTAAATTTACATAAAATATCAGTTTTTCACAGAATATAGTAAGGGAACTTTCAGTGAACCAATTAACAGGTTTTTACTGTAGCATTTTTAGTCTTTTATAATTAATATTATGATCATTTTTACAGTGAATTTTAGTGCTGTAAAGCCAACTAGATTTGAGGGGAGAATTACAGGAGCTGACCTGAGAGAACGGTGAGGTAGGCGCTGCGAAAGCTGTAGCCCATGGTATTAGCCCCTAGACAGATGTACATTCCAGCATCCTCGTCACATGCCTTGATGATGGCCAGCTTGTTGAGGTAGGAACCATCAGGTCTGGACCACACGTCCCCAGTGGGCAGCACCACAAAGTGCTGGCCTCCTACCTCCAGTGTGGAGTTATAGCGCCCCTCTGTGCCTGGGTCAACTCGCTTCAGCCACTGTATTACTGGCTTCACATCACTGTGGACTTTACACTGGAAGGAAGCTGTTCCACCAAATTCCACAGTCGTGTTGACAGGATGGGTACCTGTCAGAATGGGTTTGGAGTTGGTACGCTCTGTGGAGAAAACAGACTGAAACGTAAAGCAGTATGAATATTTTGTCTAAACTAACATGAAATTACCTATGCACACCACATTTGTAACTGATTATGGTGTAATTGTAAACAGAAACCATGGTTGGAACAATGGCATACTGGATACTTTTTAAGCCGAGGTGCCAATGTATAACATAAGTTCATAAGTCTGGCCCACAGCATTTCCCGATAAATTTCTTCACATTCTACCAGTCCTTTTCTGTCATCTCCAAACTATCCATAGCAATAAATGTATCAAAACATTTTAGAATGTGAGCTATATATTTGTATAAGATTTAAAATAGTATTTATAGTTTATTATATATAATCTATAATATTTTGAATTGTTTATGTATAATTTTTAATACAAATTAAATGTATATGTATTTATTAACAGATACATTAAAATGTATTTTATTTATAATTTATTATTACATTTATTCAATTAATATAATACTGAACTAAGTGGCAAATAAACACTAAGAAATATAGTGTACAATTTTTTTAAAGGAAAAACATTTCACAAAAAATATAGATATATAAAATTAAGGGCAAACAATTTAGACAAATAAGCCACATGTAAAAAATCATGAATATACTTGCATTGGATAACAATATATCAATATCAAATATCAAAATGACAATTATGTAAGGGATAATCAGATACAGAGATTAAATATTGTAGTAAGACCACATTTATTTGAATGAATTATCGAGAGAGAGATGACAGTTGTGTGTGTGAATTACCTGCGTCTCTCTCCACAAACAATGAAGCTGTTTAGATTTTACCTCGTTGCTGAGGAAGATAATGCAGTGATCTAATATCTATGCTATTTTATTAATTAAAGTCGCGGGGCAGCACCGACAATAAGTTTCTGTGTGTGCGCAACGCGATCTGCAATCTCCGACCTCTCTCCCTCTCACTATGTTTATGTGCGAGTGGTGTGTGTGCGTGTGTGTGTGTGCATCAATTAAAGCAGCGCATTAATATAGAACGGTGATTAAACTGACTTGGAACTACCTGTGCATTAAACGGTTTTAATGCGTACCTGCCAGCCAATCAGAATCGAGTATTCAGACAAACCATGGAATAATATAAATGATTATTATTATTGTTGTTGTTGTTGTTGTTGTTTATATTTAATTATTAAAAATAAAGCAAACCACTAACATTTGTTTGTTAGGTTTAAAATTATATAATTAACAAATGTCTTCAATTTGTTAATATTATTATAATCTATAGTCTTGTCTATATAATTTAAACTTTAAATATATATATATATATATATATAGTATATATATTTATACATCATACATTTTTTATTATATATTATTAACAAATATATTCCATTGCTAAACATCCACTTCGGGTTCCAAACTCACCAATTACATCCACTTTGTAGCTGGCATTGATATGACCAGCTGCATTGGAGACGTGACAGGTGTATTTGGCACTGTCCTGAGGCTGCAGGTTCTTCAGAGCCAGCGTCCACTGTGGGCGTTTAGTTTGGTGAGGGGTGGGCAGCTGGCTCTGGTCTTTCCACCATGAAATGACCGGTGTTGGATTGCCACTGGCCACACACTTGAGACGCAACGAGCTGCCAACAGGCTGCTCTAGCACACGCCTGCGCATTTTTGTGGGCTGAGTGAAGCGTGGCTTCACTGTGGAGGAAATAAAACATTTACAGCATGAGATTATGGCTGGATGACAAAACATATTCTGTTAGGTAGTAACACAACAGTGATGAAATGAACGGTCTTGAGCTCTTTCAGGATGCGGGCCCGTGCTGATGACATCAAGCATTGAGTAACGTGGAGTGAAAGATGAGGAAGGTGCGTATCAGATGCTTACCCCATGGCTCTCCGGTGGGGTCCTGCAGGGGGAGATCTGCGTTAGGTTCTGCTGCGTCTAGCGGAGGCTGGTTCTGAGTCACAGATGCATCATCTGAAAGACACAAAGTAATGATTCATGAGAAATATTTACTGTTATGATATTCATCACGCTTCACTTCAGTGTTCAACATATGCAGATGCAAATAATCAGGAATTGTGGAGGAAAGAGATTTTTTAGAAATGAATCATTGTGCATTTCTATCTAACTGTAACATTACAGTGGCCCTTAAAGTATTCAGACACTAAAGCCTAATATAAAAAAATGCATGAATATCTTCGCATTTGATAAAATATCAAAGGAGTGAATTGAGTCAACCTTTAATACAAACATGTAAAATATGTTATGCTTTATCTATAAAGACTGACAAATGATTTCAGGCAAATCTCTGCTACTCAGTGAGCAATTTAAATGTCAGCCTGTTTCAGTGTTAATGGATTAAATTCAATATGAAAAGCATTGACATATTTAAAGCATAAGTGAAACCACTAAAACTTGTTTAAGCACTCCAGTCTAACTCATCAATTAAAAAATCCTCATGATCTCAGGCATACCTTAAAGGATAGTTTAGATATTGGTCCATAAATCAGCGGTTAGATGTTTCTCTAGCAATATGAACTCTTTCATCTTCATACTACCGACTATTAATGTCTGCAAATGGTGTCATGTAAATCATATTGGATGAGCGGGTCAATGCAAAGGCCAACACTTGGTGAGATTTATTTTGTAGTGCTTTGAGAGCCAACAGAACCCCTCTGTGCCTGAAAAACGACAGATTTCACTTGGGAGATCAGTGGTGTGTGGAGGATTTTGTGTTTTGTTTCGGAACCGGTGACGTTCCAGAACTCCATGGGAACGATAACCAGGCTGAACCAACGTATTATTTTAGAGGGGTTTGTGCGCTGGGGGTGAACAAACACTGCTATATTGTTTCTTCTCTCCGGTTTCCACACTGTTTAAGACACAACACCGTGTTGACTTAACCCTGGACAGGAAACCAATTAACTGACTTTAACCTAAACTGTGCAGACAGAGTTGAGTTGTTTGGGATGAATTTCTCTGGCTTGGCTCACAGGAATGCACAGAGAACCCTCTCACTTCCCTGAATCCACAGCAGACGGATCGTCGGCACACACAAGTGTGTACATGAACCCAGCACAACATCTTTATGTACACAACATTACTTATTCTGAGCAATCCCAAATCAACAAGCCATGAATCAACACTGGCAACAAATGGTTCTCACATGGATAGCTGATGAAACTACTTAATAAAATGCCTTATGAATACTTTCCATATTTCAGTTCAGTCAGCGTCATCAGTGTTTGGTACAGCTAGTACCTCACTTAGGAAGAAAAAGTGAAACTTAACATTTTACAAGGTTGCTGTTCTCAATTCCATGACTTTAAAGCCTACAACGGTGTCAATATGATTTTGGTACTAACATGAACATTTCGATACAATATACACTGTTTGGTGGTATTGTAAAATGTTTAAGTAAAATAAGCAATAAACGGCAAAAAAGAGCTTCAAGGTGGTATCACTGGTTATTAGATATTTTTTAAATGTTATGCTTTTTTTTTTAAACAAAAAACAAAACACCAACAACATGATACTTTATTTGAAATATAAAAGTTATCCAACAAAGTATTTTTATATATATATTATGCACTTAGTCACAACTTTAAACACACTTGACTAAAATGATTCTCATGGTCTTAAAAATCTTTTGATGTAATTGTTTTACATCATGTTTTTAGTTTAAATAAATAGTTTATATGTATACAATTTTTTATCTTCTTTAAAAACGAATTAATACTACTACTACTAATAGCCAATAATAATAATGTGTTTTAATAAAATAAAATAATATCATATATATATATATATATATTTACAATATTTTATTAAATAATAATAACATTAATAAAATTAGTGTTTGTCCAAACCTTTTACTACTAGTGTATATACACTACAAAATAAAATTGGGAGTCAAAAAATTATTTTCATGTTTTTGAAAGGAGTCTCTTATGCTCAACAAGGCTGCATCTATTTGATCAAAAACACAGTAAAAACAGTCATATTGTAATTTTATTTAAAATGTAAAGTATTCCTGTAATGGCAAAACTAATTAATTAATATCTACAATTGTTTTATCATATGTTTTATTCTTTCATTTTATTGGGATATATTTAATTATTTAAATATAATATTCTTTAATTATTGACCCCCAAATAACTCCCTGTCTCTCTTTCTATAGTTTTTGCTGTCCTGAGGCTGTGTGTGTAGCTGCTGTGGAGTAAGCACTGCACCTTTGTCCCTGCTAATCCTCCTATGCTGAGCACAGGCCTTGCATGTTCAACACAGACAACCAGGCCAAAGCAAGCAGAAGTGTTTTCACCGGCCTTCAGTCCATTGTTACTTTTGGCCCTGGGGTGTAGGAACAAAAGTAAGCCATTGCTGCTCTATTCAGCAGCAGCAGAGTGGAATCAGTGGAGCTTTATATGGGCTAAAGTAGTCTTACTGAGAGCCTGACCCCAGACTCCCTGTTCTCTTATCAGGTGTCTAAAAAGACAGGTTCTTTCCAAAAGAGCATTCTATGGCTTTACGGGTATTACTATGCATGCTTCTCATGGAGTCATTTCACAGTTCACGCATAACTCTCAGTGATGTTTTTGCGCCATTAGGACAGGAAAAAAGTGGAAAAGGAGCTCTGAAGCTCTGAAGGACAGGGGGCTCATTTTCCTCTGCAGCCCCATAGAGATACATTTAAAGAGGGGGCTGCCTAAAGAAGGAGGGTTTGGTCCAGGGGTCCACATGCAGCCCCACAGCTCAGCTTACAAATGATCTTCATGTGGACTCAGTGCTAATAAGGCTCACATATTATTTTTTCCAACCGGGACAAAGTTGAAAGCTGTGCCTTTAAAAAGGTTCATTCTCCATTCATACCTGTGTGAGCAAACAGACATTCCTGTAGATATGTCATGGAGAGCTCCACATGCTTGGAAAAAAAAATCAAAGCAAAACAAACATGGAATAAAAAGCAGGCTGAAACTTTTCTACTGATTTTCAGAAACATCTAAATAAAATAAACATCAAAGGAAAAAGGGTCTTGCTACTTTTTTTTTTCTATAAAAGACGTAATGAAGATTGAAGATCCTGGAGAAACTTACTGAGACGTTTGGCTGAGAGTGATGCTATGTTTTTAAGGTAATAGCCTATCACTAACTAAAACCATGTCTGTTCCAGTAAATCAAAGGAAAACACTGCCAATGCTGTTTACTATAGTGAGATCCGTAAGGATGGAAAAGATATGAACTGGTACATTTTGCACTTCTGAGTGCTTTCCAGTCCTTTTGAGCTCTTCCAATCATTTTTTTCTTGATGAAAACATTACAGCGTTCTAATCTTTCTTGAAAGAAACACGGTTATGTGTTTTCATGTATTCAAAAATACTGGAGAGAGATGAGAGGGAAATACAAAAGAATAGACTGGGCTGTTAAAAAAGCAAGTGCTTATTCCTGCCAATAAAATTAAAACACAAAATCAAATCAGATGGGTAATGTAGTTCATGCTTTTAAAAATATGATCTGGCACTTCTATTTTTTGATAGCTTTACACATACACCTCATTTCAGTTTGTATATTTGGTATATCTCTATGTGCTGACAGAAGAGGCAAATTAAAGCCTGTTGGTGGATTCACAGCAGGGAAAGACAGATAGAAGAAGAGGAGAAAGGGTAATTAGAAGTCTCCTTGTATCTTTTATAGAGCCATAAGTGGTTTTCAGCAAGAGTCAACCCGGGAGGAAATTGGCCAAACCTAATGTGCCCAGGTTCTTTTCTTCACTGTTGTGAGTGAAGTGGGCCCGAAGCATCCTGCAGAGGGCCCGGCTTAGCTTCTGGCCCCTGTAATGAGGTGGATGAAAGGCTCTTTAATGTGGCTTTCTGATGAAGGTGGGTAATTTGCATCCTTTTAGTTTAATTAAAACCTTTGCTCCCCCTGCAGCTCAAAGAAGTTTTAGTTGTACGCCATGAAACCAAAGCCATGATGTGATTAGGTTCTGGTTTGAATTGCACATTGAAGGAAAGGCAGGGTGGGCATGAGATGCATCAGAAAAATACTGGAGTGAAAATATTGAGTACATTTACTGGATGGTATAATTTAAAACATATACAGTGGTGTGAAAAAGTGTTGGCCCCCTTCCTGATTTCTTATTTTTTTGCATGTTTGTCACACTTTAATGTTTCAGATCATCAAACAAATTTAAATATTACACAAAGATAATGCAAGTAATATATATATATATATATATATATATATATATATATATATATATATATATATATATATATATATATATATATATATAAAAAGATAAAAAATGATAGTAAAGACATTATAATGTTAAAAAAGATTTCTATTTTAAATAAATGCTGTTCTTTTGAACTTTCTATTCATCAAAGAATCTTGAAGAAATATCAACAAAAATATTAAGCAGCACCACCAGTGATACAAATACATTAGTTGAGCACCAAATCAGCATATTAGAATGCTATAATAAGGATCATGAGACATGGAAGCCTGGATTAATGGCTCCTTAAAATTCAGCTTTGTCATCATAGGAATAGATTATATTTGAAAATATATTAAAACAGAAAACTTATTTTTTATATAAAAAGTTATTTTAAATTGTAATAATATTTTACAATATTACTTCTTTTATTTTTTCAAAAACACCAAATCTTACTGAACCCAAGTTTTTGAATGGTAGTGTATACAGTACAATTTGAGTTTTAGAATTCAATTTTTCATAATGTCCCTTTTTATGTAATGAAAGCTAGTCATTCTAGTGACCTAGAAATCGTGCCGATTTTTAAACAACAGGATATAAAATGAATAAGAAATATTTCATACATTTTTTTAATCTTCAAATTATTAAATTTTCAACATTATTAATCCCAGATTTTATACTTTGGATTCCATTATAGGTGTGAACTGGTAATCTAAAAAAAAAAAGTTTCTAAATAAAGGAAATGTATAAATTGCTATTCAAATAAAGGCTACTTGACTTGACTCAAATTATGAAATACGATCAATATTATTATATCAAAATATAATACTATTATCATTAAATCAGCAGAAACAGTTTCCTCAGTTTACAATTCCCTCATCATCTGTTATTTTATGCCCTTGTACTACTGAAGTTACAGACGGTTGTTTCTCAGTTATGCTTCTCACTTCTCCGCCTGAACTCATTCTTATGTGCCATTTCAAACTCTGTATGTCTGTAGCTCTCTTTTCATGTGAGTCCAGACTGGTTTCAATTCCATCAAGCATCCTTTCATCTTTCCCTTTTTTCAACCATGTCTTTTCTTCAGCTACTCACAAGCATGAATTCATTTGTGTCCATGTGTTTGTGCTTTGAACTTGCCCAAGCTTATTTCCCTACAATGAAAGAAATAAAACAAACACACTCTTGAGAGCCTAAGTTGTGAAGTTCCGTGTCAGATTACAAGTAATCAGAATTATGAATTACATCAGTGTTACAGAGACGCATGATCAAAGTAGGGCTTTAAAAGCATTTTCCAGTGCTTATGATGGTTCTTGTGGTTTGACATCAGACAAATAAATTCTACTGTATTCGAGTCTTTTCTTAAGATACTAAAAGTCATTTAAAAAAATGACAAAAAATGACTTCACTCTGTATATTAAAAAGTGTTCACAATGAAAACAAAATACATGAATATAAAAGCTAGCATTTAGCCAAAATCATTAATTATATTTTAAGATTTTATAGTAAAAGTAATAAAACTTCCAGGTCCCAGGCTCCATGTCAACCCTGTTGCATCATATTTTCACTTCTATTCATTTAATTATCTATAAAAAAATCCTTAAATAATAATAATAATATGATTAAAATAAGATCATTTATTTTTAAATCACTTTATGTTTTGTTATGATTGCCAGCAGGGTACAAACAATCTTAAAATTACAATGCAATTACAAATTAAGTGGATATTTGTAGAATTATCAGCTTTAAATTACAAATTTCTTAGTAGTGCCTTTTTGAAGCCATAATATTATGTAAGGACAATAATACATATACAGATACATATAAACTGATTAATTGCTTAACTAAATGAATGGATTATTAAACTAATTATATATATATATATATATATATATATATATATATATATATAAAATAAAAT